GGTCAAACAGGGTCATTCTACTAAAATCCTCTTTTTCCCCTAACGGTGGCAAAATCACAAACGAATTCCGATTAAACTTTCTTCTCTGATTTCTATTTATGATATTCTATGCTCTTAGTAGAATACACTGCCTATTCTCGACGAATTTACGGATTTTGCTCTCAGCCTCGGATTGGACTCGTATTACAAGTCACGTTCAGAACATTCAACTGACAACAACAGACTGACGATTTAATTTTTACTAAACATTCAATTTTTACACTTCTAACCTTCATAGTGAACTCGATTTTACTTTTAATTTTCGTATCCGAATCTACATTTCATGATACTGATTTTGCTCTCAGCCTCGGATTGGACTCGTATTACATCTCAGCCTCGGATTGGACTCGTATTACATCTCAGCCTCTGATTGGAATCGTATTACATCTCAGCCTCGGATTGCGATCGTATTACATATCTAAGCCTCGGATTGGGATCGTATTACATATCTCAGCCTCGGATTGGGATCGTATTACATCTCAGCTTCGGATTGGACTCCTATTACATCTCAGCCTCGGATTGGACTCCTATTACATCTCAGCCTCGGATTGGACTCCTATTACATCTCAGCCTCGGATAGGGATCGTTTACGATTCAAAAAAAAGGAAAAAATGACAGACTCATAGTTCTAAAAAACCAAATCCTTTCAATAATAAAGCTTTTTATCGTTTGTTTAGATTTAATCCTATAAAACTTGAATAAAAACAAACAAGAAATACATAAGTAGAAATTATGCGTTCGGTGTGCATATAATGAAGTAGAGAAATGAGAGAAAAATATCATATGCCCTTGGCAGGATTTGAAGTCACGTCTTCGGTATTCTAGTCCGATGTGTTAACCACTACACTACAAGGACCAACCACGCTGGTAACGCAGCCAGAATATGAAATGTAGGGTATTCGTGAGGATCCCAGAGCGATATTTTTCTCTATATACACATATATACACACCGAACGCATAATTTCTACTTTACTATGTCTATTATCTGCGTACATTTACGGTGTTCAATTTACCCTATAGAGAAAAAATATCGCTCTGGGATCCTCACGAATACCCTACATTTCATATTCTGGCTGCGTTACCAGCGTGGTTGGTCCTTGTAGTGTA